CCCCAAAACCCCAAAACCCCAAAACCCCGAGATATGGAATCTGATTGGGAAGTTTAAGATATACTATAAAATGATTATACTTATATTTAAATGAGTGACTATTAATTTTATGTCTCAAAGATACAAATAATAAGGCAAAACTTTAAGAAAAAGAGACCTTAAATTTGCTAATAAATCATAATTTAAGTCTGTTTAACCCTAAAGTTAAGTTAGGGCAACTCCTGAAAGGAGAGGGGCTCATTCTTCAACAAAAAAGAGGAGATGGATTTAAGAGTTTACCCTACATTAAGGAAGCTAAAATCTCAAGCGGAGAAGGATTTTTGTGGATCTGATTGAGCTGCAGCACTACAGTGGTCTAGCCCTTTGCTCAAATCACACCATCAACTTCAAAATAGGTATCAATTACTTAATTATAACCATATAGTTTCAAATGAATTTGAAATGCTTGCTGACTATGACAGCTTTTTCAACCCAAAATTCTCTCATTAAGTATGTATTGATCTTCAATTCTTCCTAGTGTGTCGAAATTATCCCAACAATTTGGCTCTCTTTTTAAAAATAATTATAGATTTTTCATAAAGACGAAACTGTAAGAGGTTATAAGGATCTAAACATTGACATTTTTTTGACTCCCGCAACATTGAAGCCTTACCTTAATATTAACTACTCACTAGAGGCAAAGAATCACGATGACATATAAGAAACATTAACAAAACATTTCGGTGAAGATTGTAAGTAAATCTCAACAACAAAGTGATTTCAACTATTACTTAGCCGCATCCTTATTTTAAATGTTGTAGGCATGATTAAATCGAGATAGGAATTTCTAAATCAGGTTAAAGAAGAAATTCAACTGTTTAAACCATTGGGTAAAAAGGTTGGATAGTTTATGAGACAGATGGCAAAGAGAGATAATAATATTCAACAACTACTTTAAAAAGAAAAAAGAAATACCACCAAGCAATAGTTGAAATAAGAGAATGTCTAATTTGATGTAAATATCCTTCTATCCACTTGATTAATTAACATAATATGTTATAGATTTATAAAATAGATGCTGATAATGACAAATTCAAGACAATGAACAGACGTCTATAAGCAATGCTAATTTTTTACATTGATGGGGCTTCATTTATATCTCTTGATGGTAACTGGTCTTATTTCCTTGTTTATCAAGGATCTAAAGTAAATATAACTTTTCTTATAGATTTATATAGCTCGTGGCATACTCTACAGTATATGAATAGAAAAGACCATTAAATTTAGGGAAAAATAGAAATTTTTCATAAAATTCAACCAAAAATCAAGTTAAAAAAGAACTGACTCCCAAGGGATTATCTGCAACTAAGTATACATATAAATTAAGAATATCATAGTTCTTAGTGCTACCATCATATCAAAGACTTGGAATTGGTAGTGTTCTATTAGAGCAAATGTATAATTTTTATCTAGCTGACAAGAAATGTACTGAAATTACAGTTGAAGATCCCTCACATGATTTTCAGCAAATGAAGGATGCCTTAGATATTAAGTTGATCTGGAAAAATGGGTTCTTTGAATCATTCAGATAGGTCTTTAAGGGTAAAAGCTCACTTAAATCTTCAATAATAAACAAATTCAACTTCGATTAGCTAGTACTCGATTAATAGGAGATTGCAAACATCTAATCTTTGTTAAAATTGAAGAAGTAAAATATTTTGAGATGCTTTGAACTGCTAATTTTAGCTAAACTTGATAGAAAGGATCCAGTGGTTCATCAAAAGTTTGCTTAGGAAGTTAAAAGAAAATTTTACTACTAAATGAATAAAAATCTACTTTAGCCATACTTCTAACTTGAAAGCTTTTACGGAAACATCATACCAACTGCTAATTCAATTGCAGATGAACATGGAAATGTCAATTTAAAACCTAGCCAAAAATAATGCTGTGATGGTTTCGGGAAAGTTATCTCTGATGATCAATTTGCTAAATTTGAAGAATCACTAAACAAGAATCATCATCATTTCTATGACGGTAATACATTCGGTGTCTCAGAAACGAGAACTGGAACAGGTACCCTAGAATATCAAAGAGTTTATAACAAATACACACCTACACCTCTGCCGATCGGACTATAAGCTGGATTTGGAAATATGTAAGGGATGCTGAATGGCCAAGGAAATGGTCAGAATTTGGTAATCACGAAGTTTGAATTGCCAGAAAATCTATAAAAGAAGATCTTAAAGATTATTGGGTCAGATTGAAATCATGAAATCACTTGTGATGAGGAGGATAGAATTTCACTCATCTAATACAATCAATGTGATCTTTCTAATTTTGATTATTACTTTTATAATAATTTTATTAAATAATTCATTTTTAATGGTTAATGCAGTGATAATAATTGGATGGGAGCCTTAGAGCACAAGGTTCAGACCATTGTCTATATCACTACCTCCACCACTATTTCCTAGTAAATTAAAAACTTAATCATTAAAGTCGGTGGATATCCCTTGATCTTCCATCATATAAAGGCTCTCTCAAATTTAGCTGAAATTCATCATGTATTTTTAATGGGATCATATGATGATAAAAAATTTGTACCATTTATGGACTATGTTAAGACTCAGTTTAATTTTGATATTCATTACATTTAAGAGCACATTGAGTTCAACACTCCAGGGGGCTTATTCTTATATAAAGACATCATTATGAAAGATAATCCGTAATTTTTTCTCAATAAAATTGACTCAATAGAAAAAACATTTTTGTGATGCACTGTGATATTTGCTGCTCTTTTCCTCTTAAAGAAATGTTATTTGAGCACACTTAGAAAAAATAGATGCTGACAATGATGACAACTCTGGTTGATAATTAAGAAGCTAAAAAATACGGGCAAATAATTTATGATAAAAAAACTAATGGTAAATTAACTTAATATGGTTCATTGGTCACTTATATATATATTAGAATTGTTGCATTTTCATGAAAAATCTGAACTTGTACTAAGCCAAATGATAAATTGTGGAGTATATCTCATGTCAAGAAAAGTATTTGAACTGGAGTCCTATGTAAAATTAGGGGAAACTTATAGAAGAATACTATCTCTGAGCAAAGAAGATGAAGAATCAGATTAGGGGCTATCATAATTGTAAAATATATTTTATAAAGATAAAATTTTAGTTTGAGTGAGTTTTCCAACCAATTCAAGATAAATAATTGTGGAGAGCAGATTAAGATTAAGGATATTATATTGCCACTTTGTAACACTAAGGAATCACAGATATTCATTCTTGATTAATAGAAACATTTTTGGCAGCAAGTGAAATCAACAAGATAGCTTCTTTTAACATAAGAAATATACTTAAAATATTACTAAGAGGTTGATTAAAACATTCTTACTCATCCAGAGAGTATGGAATAATCATAAATAGAAGGAATAGTTTGTATTCATCCTAATGCAGATGTACATCCAAATGCTAAACTTGGGCCTAATGTAACAGTTGGAGCTTATGCTAAAATTGGTGATGGGGCTAGAATAATAAACTCAATTATTCTAGAGGATGTTATCATTCAGCCTCATGCAGTTATTATCAATTCAATTATCGGTTGGAGTTCTGTAATTGGAAGTTGGGCTAGAATTGAGGGTTTAGTGAATTAGCATCGCACAGTTAAACAAGAATAAGAGTTCTAGGATAGACATTATTATCAAAGTTAATCATTCTAGTTCAATTGCCATGAACAATAGAGAGTACTTAAAGGTAATTACTATTTGAAATTAAAAGAATTTAGATGGAGTAACTACTATCGGTGGAGGAGTAACAGTGGAACCAGAGCTTCATCTGAGGAATGTAGTCGTTTTACCTTTCAGAACTGTAAGCGAAAGCTACTTTCATTAGATAATAGTGTGATTAATATGAAATTATTATTCTAACAAAATCCTTATTCTTTAATGATTTCATTATTATTAAATATTAAGTGGTTATAAACCCTTTGGGGTTTTGGGGTTTTGGGGTTTTGGGG